CTATACATAGGACACCAATTTTTTTTTTCAACTTTTGACCATTTGTCTTCTGTCTTCTGTATCTATCCCTCAACAGTTAGCTGGCTAAAATACCCGAGGAAATTTTTCTAGTTATCTAGTAGTTCTGTTCTCCAATCAAGCCTCAGCTTCAGCACAAGTTTGACAAGACTTTGCAGAAAATGTCAGATGAGCAATTTCAATATCCTTTAATGGAAGGTATCTGCCTGCACAATCCCCTGAAAAAAAAAATCGACCCTTTAAATAAATCCTAATGGGCTAGAAGAATAGCTGTTAACTTAAGTGGATCCACAGCTCAGTGAGTCACTCTGTTGAGAGGAAGATACAGTTTCAAATTTATCTTCAGTTACTGAGCAAGAAAGATTGATGGTTAATCTAGTTTGACCTCCAAACCAAAGATTCTGTGCAATTTGTCTATGGGGCTAACCCTACTATTGGTCCTTGAGTCAAAGAGGAAGATGCCATGTAGAAGAAAAAAGTACTTTCACCTGAGTCAGAAGAGCTGGCTTTGGGTTTTTCATTCCTGTTTCTAACTAGACTCATCAAGCCTCAAGACCACATTTGCTTGAGCCTTACTTTTCTCATCTGTAATAGGGGGAGATATTAACACTTACTCTGCTAACCTCAAAGTGTTGTAAGCAGCAAATGTAAAATGTTTCGTAACCAAGGCATATTGCTAACATAATATTATTATTATTGTTATTACTCTTCTTATTAACATTCTGGATCTAATTAAAGGGAAAGATGCTGGATGATCTGTGTTCATTCTACTCATTAGCAATAATATTCTATGGTCTATATAGAATATAGTTCTATGTAGAAAATGAGTACATCCAATGCAATATTGGCTAAGAAGGAAATGGGTGAGCTCCCAGACTGGAGAATGTCCTTTGGGTAATCTGGCAGAAATTAATACTCTCACTGGACTTTAAAGGTAAGATTATCACATTTAATTAACTTTCTTTAGATTCAACATTCACCTAAGACTGAAGAGTTATTTTAATTATGAATTTCATGATACAGTAAAAAGAACAATGTTTTGAGTAACCTCTGGGTTTGAATACTGCTTATACTATTTGCTCCCCTTCATCTGTCAAATAAGGGGGCAGAACTAGATTATCTATTATCCTTTCTAACTCTAAATCCTATGATATTATGACCTAGATTGATACTTGTAATATCTCAACTCACAGTTGAGTGAGAAGGGATTCTAGAATCTATGTTATGTCTAGTTTAGGAAAAAATATCATCCCCTCAAAAAAAAACCAGTTTAAAATTAAATATTCCTTCAGTATCAAAGGGGAAAAGTAGAGAAAAAAATGAAGCGCAATCAGTGTTAAGAAGGTTAGAAGCAAAAAAGAAAAGAAAAAAGAATTGGAGTTAACAGCCACTGTTCTTCCTCCACACTCCCAATTTTGTCCCTAAAAGTCTCTGACTGCGGGTGAGTTTATACTGCAATTGTCCTGGCATACCTAGGTACAACAGGCCAGGTTATGGGTGGCATTTCAGACATGCTTTCCAAGCCTTTAGAGGATCCAAATGTACACAGTCACTTCTCTTTTCGCAGCGTTCCAATAAACTAGAGAGCCGTCAACCACTGAATGAAAGCGTTCATTGGGTAAAAAACATCTTACTTCCAGACCCTTAGATTTCATTGTGATTGAACAGGAGTCTGGAAAGGCAGGCTTAAAATTAACAATCACTGGCTATTCTAAACTCAGCAAGGACGGGGTTGGCCTGCATTCCAGCAGAAAAGAATCCTTACATTATATTCAACCCAAAAACAAGTCATCTGAGGAGCCATAATAAGCAGTTTTTCTGTCCCTGTGGTTAAACATTCCAGTATTTTGATGTTTGTCAACAATATCTTTTTGCAGGTATGGCCTCACCTAGATTTTTTTTTCCTTCTATTTATCTCAAAGTTGACACTTTCCAAGTTATTTAGGAGCTGTTGAACCATGAAACTATTTTTTATTGTCAAAAATGCTGAATGGGGAAATAATGACAAGCTTTCACAGTTTGCCTCTTTATTTTAAAATCTAGTGGAGCTACTAAATTTAGTTGTGAACTAAGAGTCTGTCTGTTCTGGGAAATAAGTTATTCCCACCACTGCACACGAGGTTTGTGAATGTTTGAATGTAAATATATGAATATATGAATGATTTGGGAACATAAACATATCACCGCTTGTTTTAATCATGTGCATTTTTACTTGAACCTCAATGTGGGTTTAGAATAGGTTTGTGAATAGAGCTTGTTTTCATGTAAATGGGATCAAGCAGTACCACGGGTTAGCTATTCAAGAAATCAGACAATACCACCCTTGCTGGAAAGGCTTCAACAAGAATTTAATCCATGGACCTAATATTTGAACTCAGATTCTTGCTTCATATTCTGGGCCTCTAATCCCAGATCTGATGGCCTGACAATAACGATAGGACAGTGTGAGACTCAACGTGACCCATTTGTGTGCAACACCTGTTTTTGACACTGGGCACTTTAGACTTCATCTTCATCTGAGGCCGTATCTGAAGAAAGCTTTCCTTTCCCCTTACTGTGTCACATTCTAAACATGCAATATGGCTTGCCTGCTCCCAGAATCAACATCCATACAGTGACTTTGACCCTATGCAATACCAAGAGGGAAAAAGTTCAAAGAATTCAGTGCCCATCCTGGCCCTATGTGCCAGGTATAAGTCATAAACAATGGCTGTTTAAATTAGGTTTTTAAGTAGTTTAACCATTTTTCATCAATGACAGATAGGTTGGATACTAAAATATTTATCTTTGGAATAGAACAATCAGGACTACTGTGAGAGCAATCTAGATTTTCATGTTTACTAAAGAAAATGATGAGTATTCTGGCACTTAAAACTAGGGGGCGAGGCAGGAAGGAGGATAACCACTCTGTCAGCTAAAAAAAAATTTTTAAAAACTAAACTTGGTTTGTTTATTATCACTTAAATGCACAAATGCCAACATGCCTGCTCATTGTCTATATGTGTGTGATTGTACTAAGGAGTTTAAACTGAATATGCATTGTGTATTTATTGAGTATGCACATCCACGTTGTTTTCTAGTGAAAATACAATTTTCAAAAATGTTAGAGAGACTATTTTTAACCTGAGGTCATTAATCAGAAAACAGCTTAAGTCTTGTTCTCTCTGCCAGTCTCTCCAATACAAATAGGATGACATGGTGTGAGTGTCCATAGAACAAGATATGACAAAGCCAGGTTGTTTTGATATTCGTGTGAAGAACAAATTTAACTCTAAATCTCTTGGCCAGACCTTGCCTCACCCACATAATCTGGAGAACATCCACATGCGACCCTTGTCTAAGCCCCGGAGAAGACTGCTGCCCTCCTGCTCTTGTCCACCAGCACTCTGATCTGACTTTCATACTTAATCTGATCTAATCCTGCCAGCATTAACTTCATCTGTGCAATGAAACCTGGAGAATCCATTCTCCTATTTGGTGAGGAAGGCATTTACAAAATTACTTGCTGAAATCATATGGCCATGTTTAGCTTCTTATTTTAATCATATGATGCATCTCTAAGACATTATCGGTGATTAGTCAGAAACCTGGGTCTGTCCTTTTTGGGAACAAAGACGTTTTCTGAAATGAAATGATAAGAGAATGAAGTGCTGGTACCATACAGTGTAAGGAAAGGAGGAGGAAGAAGTAAAAGTCACAAGCTTGAAAAATGTTTTTCATTGAAGCAGGTTCTCCTGAAAAGATAATTTAGTTGACTTAAATAGGAAAACGACCAGCTGAAAATGTTTTGAAAGTAAAAAGGGTTTTTGATTGAAAAGAAATATATTTCTTTTCATTTAAAAAATGCCGCATTTCTTGGTGAGAGCCAGAAATACATTGTTCAACTACTGCCCTGTCTGTTCCAGTGTTCTGGACCTCCAGATTGTGCTCATCAAAATGAGACCTTGTTCATTACCTCTGAACTTGGGTTTTAGAAATCTGAAATGCCACTACAAAGTCAAAGAGACTGAAATTTAATGGAAAAAATATGCAATAATTGCCAAAGTTTTCCATAAATTAAAATATTATTCCACTTATCTAAAGAAATTATGTGAGATCAGTTGCAGTAGTTATTAAAGGGCTAAGGCTTGTTTACCCTGTAACTCAGAAAGAAGCAGCCTTTCAAGAACAAAGTCTGGCTAAATAAAACCAATAAATAAAACACCCAATGTATATTTTTTTGAAAGCCAGTCTTTCAAAAATTCCCATATCTCAAGTATTAATTTCCCATTTATTAATAAAATTTAATTTTATGATCAGTTTTTGTTTTTAGAATATATTAAAAACAATGGCCACTGGATAAAACTGAAATGACTATATAGCAAACACAAACACTGCAGAAATATTTTTTCTGGAGTTGTTATGAATACATACATATATATATATATATGTATGAATATATATATATATATATATACACATACAATACATATATAAAATATATTCAGGATATGGTTATGAATATACCAAGATTATATATTCTCACATCTATACATATATAGATACAATACATATAGATGTTATGTGTGCATATATCCTCTTATATCAATAGTCAGATCTTTCCTAAGAAGTAAGCTAATTGAGCTGTTTGTGTTGATAAACTCCCTTTTCTCCAGACTATTCCTCACTGAGCCATAATTATTTGCAATTTGCCTAAGTCGTCCATTTACTGATACGTCAAGCATGAAACAGAGGCAATTCCAGAAAATGGAAATGCTTCTCAAAATCAATCTTTGGGAAATAATGTGGTAGAAGTTACTGTGTGATAGAAGACTACCTTAGGACTGTCACATGGAGATGAATATTAATTTGTCGAGGTGAAGGTGGCTTTGTGCTTCATTTGTTGACTTTGCTTAGCCATCAGCAAATCGGCACAGCACAATTACTCCAGCAAAGCTTCTTTTTTCCCCCCAACATGAGTTTTATGATTTTTATGTACTTACCAGTCAGCACACATAACAATGTCAAAATGTCCTTCCAGTTGAGAGACATCTGTCTCATTATCCCATCGTAAAACGCTAGAGGAAAAAAAAAAGACTAAAAAAAATTAGACTTAGATTTTTTCATCTTTTTGATTCTACGCTATTAACATTATTTTTTCATGGCACTGAAATTATTTAAAAGGTATATACATATTACTTCAAGGGGTATATGACAAAAATCTCGGAACATAACTGTGTATTCTATATTTTGTTCAGACTGAACCCTCAACGAGGAAGAGTTCCAGCTTTATTTAGACATAACAATTAAGCTGCTGCCAGGCTTCTGTAGGTGAATCAGGGAGAAAGGGAGTATTTGTTACCACAGTCACTGGAATCTCTCTGGATGTTCCAGACCTTTGTACCTGCGTGTTGGAACTGCAGTTTTGCCAGTCTGACCAGAATATAAATTTACAAAAATAAAATGATGTGGGTTTATAGCATGTCAATTGCATTTTTTTTATTGATGGAATGTCCCATTTTTCAAGGTTTAAGAAGAAAGGATAAAAGAATATTCAACTTTTATTTGGCAGTGTGTGGCTTTAAGAAATTTTCAAAAATCACTAGTTCTCACACCAAATCTGAAATGAAGGATCAAGTTTTAAATTATAAACCAATCACAATAATGAATAATGTGAATTTGAAAACTTCAGTGTTCATGAAGTCAACTAGATGGTTGTGAAGATACTCTTAGTAACTATGATCATCATTGCAATTTATTAAAATATTGCGAAGATACTCCACCCCCGACCCCCGCCTACCTCTAAGCAAAGTCTGATTTGCAGAGAAACATCCTGTTCCCTGTTTCAGTTTGATGGTAACTTAAAACAAACTGACAGCTTTTCTTTGATCTTGTACAGCTATGCTTCCTTATCTTTCTTTGTGTGAGGTTTCTAGTTTTCTAATCTACTTTGGAAGAAAAGAGACCTTTACCTCCAAAAGCTTAAATAGAGCATCAGTCATTTTTCTAATAAACCCCAAAATTCCTTCAAAGTACACTCAGACATGAGAGAGACATGCAAATTTCCTAAGGTATAGCAGATAAAAATGCAATCTTGAAAGTGCCTATGAGAGATATTTAGCCCTCCTGCCTGGAAGCCACATAAACAAGCTTTGTAGATAAAATTTAAAATCCTTATACTTTCCTAAAGTCCTCTGGAGCTAATGAAAGTTACATATATCCAGGAAGCAGAGAAAACTAGAACTCTGGATCTCAACTGCTAATTCCACAGGCTCTATAATCCAATAGAAGACAATCATATGAGCCTTTAAAGGCTGTGATTTTTTGGGAAATGCATGTCTACCAACTCACTGATCTGAGCACCAGCAGTGCCATAAAGGGAGAACAAACTCTCTCCACATCCAGTGCATGGGGACTGATTGAGCCTTAAGCAATTTCATTTAGTGGAACTTGCTCTAGCTCTGCAATAGTTTAGCTGCATAAACAGACTTTGAACCAGATGAGAATGTCTTTTTTTTTTAAAGCAAAATAATTCTCCTTTTTAAAAAAAGTGCTGCGAAGAAAGTGGTTGTAATATTTGAATTTCTGAAGAGATTTGGCCTCCTGGCTCATAAACAACCCCCAGGGCACTGTGTGTAAGTATCAGCTCACCCTATCTAATGATCTGTAGCTTGGTTTAATATTGCATAGGCTCACTACCATTCCAAAAGTGAAATTCAAATGCTGAGTTGGGTCATCAGACCCACAATGGCTTTGTCACAGTGAGTCATTGTTATCAACATTTGCAAATGACACTGTGCAAATTAATCCAAAGTATTGCAGTATTGCAATCTAAGGCAGATAATGCTGAAGTATCTAGATACATGAAAGACCTACAGATGATTAGAAACATACATAACAAAATTTTGCAAGACAAGTTTTCATTATTATTATTTTTTTTTTGTGAGGCAATCCGGGCTAAGTGATTTGTCCACAGTCACAGAGCTAGTGAGTGTTATGTGTTTGAGGCTGGATTTGAACTCAGGGCCTCCGGACTCCAGGGCTGGTGCTCTATCCACTATGCCACCTAGCTGCCCCACAAAAGACAAGTTATGACCTGACTTGTTAACTCTCTATGAACACAGATCATACAGATTGCAACAATCAGTCTGTCAATAAACATCTATTAAGCACCTACTATGAGCAGGCATTATGCTAAGAGCTGGGGATACAAAAACAGGCAAAAGGCAGTTTCTGCCCTCAAGAAGCTCACAATCTAATGGAAGAGATAATGAGCAAACAAATATGTGCAAACAAGCCACATACAGGAAAAAAAGGAAATACAAACACTGAAGAGAGAGAGGGCACTAGAATTAAGAGGGGTTGGGAAAACCACCTATAACTAACAAGCGTCTGAGGCACATAAAGTTTAGGTAACTTGCCTGGGCTCAAGTGTCAGAAGAAGAATTTGAATCGAGGTTTTCCAAAGTCTAAGCCCAGCACTCTGTCCAATACCCCACAACTGCCTCTGTCTGCTTATACATATTAACACTAATGTGGATACAAAGTATGTGTATTAATACTAATGTAAAAAAAAACTGATGTCTCCATATATTTCCCCCAAAGCGTGCCCTGCTAATCTACAGAAATCAGATTCTAAGAGAAATCATTATCAACAAATAGCCATGTTATATTCTCTTCCATGCCCCCCCCTTTTTTTTTTTTTGGAGACTGGGTCTACCTATCATCTCTAGGCTGGAAATGCCACTCACAGACCCAACCTATCAGTTGGCATGGAAGTTTTGACTTCTTTTGCTTCCTACCTTGACTGATCCAACCCTCCTTAGGAAGGGCTGGTGTTCTGGTGGCCCCTCCTACTCCTGGTTAGCAAATCATACTGATTTGCTGGACTTAGTGTAGACGTCCAAGTGGCTCCACCCCTATTGCATCTCAAAACTCTTGAACTCAAGTGATTCAACAGCCTCAGCCTCCCACTAGCAGATAATATAGGCATATACCACCATTCCTGGCCCATATCATATTTTAAAGAAATTTTAAGGAAATCACAGTTGTATCAAACTTGGTGGCTTTAGTAGGTTAGAATTCAATATTGTGGTAACAGGAAAGTAATTATGTCATCCTAACTCAAGACTTTTCATACTGCATTTGAGTTTGGGCTTCAACCTGACACTGAAAGCCAAATTCATCTCTAAGCTATTTTGTACCTTTCATCTCAAAACAACAACAGAAACAATAATAACATCAAAAACAACAAAACAAACAAAAACCCCAAGCCAGATGCATTAAAATGTGTCCAAATGTGTTTCCAATTTGTAATAAAATCTGAAACCTGACAGGTTCAACCTGATTTGGATCTTAATTGTAGAGATCACAGACAACTCACTTTAAAGAGAGTTTTGAAGGATGTTTTTTCTGATAGTCTCAATGTAAAAATTCATCTCCATCTATTTTACTGTAATAATTGTGGGCCCCTAGTTGTAGGGAAGATGAATCTATTTGGTAACTCTACTATCTAAAAGGCGTTGCTTTTCTAGTAGTGAAATAAATGTGTTGACATAATTCTTGATCATATTTGCCAAATGCAAAAAACCAAACAAACTTGGAACTATCAAAAGACAAGTAATTCTGTGACTGGTATAAAGGAGACAGTTGCTTTTCTTTCATATTTATCAAAAGCATTTGTTTTTGCAGAGAAATCCATCAGTGTCTACACCAGTTCCTTTCATTTTATGCCTCAGTGTTTAAGTCTGCATTGAAAACAATTTCACAGTACACATTCAGGTCATTTACTGTATTAACCAGATTTTGGAACTACTTCTCTCCCTCCTTTCATACCCTTCCCCACTGTATTGCTTCTTTCCTCTAGCTCTTCATTCTCCAATATCTTCTAATCCTTTGTAGGTTTTGAAAAGTGCTGTTTTAAAGGGGTCAGTACGTAGTGTCTTGGACTCTTTAGAGAATTGCCATGATTTAAACTTACAGCTAAATTTATAGACTAAACAGTTGCTTGGTTATTGAAGGGTCCTTCATTTATTATTTATTGGCTCGACTTAAAAGCATAACTGTAACTTAAATGCATATGTTAGCCAACCAAGCATTTAGTATGCCTATCATATGCTGAATAACATGCTAGGTTTTAAAAGGGAAGCAGAAGATTTTCTGCTACCCTCAAAGGACTTACAATCTTGTTGGAAAGGTTAGACCTTCATATGAAACAATCAGAGAAAACTATGATACGGTATATAATTAAGTTCCTATACTGTGATATAGGAGTTCAGGATGGGAGGATCAATGTGGCCTGGATTAGTTGGGATAGGGCTCTATGGCAAAGGAAGAATATGAGTTGGGGCCTGAACAAGAGAGGAATTGACCAGGTGGAACAAAAGGATATTTTCATGTTGGAGGGAACAGCATGACCAAAGCTCTAGTGTGTGCAGTGGAAACACTGAGAAGGTAGTCTGGCATGTGGTGGTAAGGTTTGGGGATTGGGGGCAAGGTACAGATCCCAGCCATGTATGGCTTAGTTGATAAATCTTAGAGAATTGACCACAGTTGTGATCTGCCTGGAGTCACGTATCAGAGGCAGGCCATGAACCCAGATTTTCTTCCTCTAAGCATTCTATTAATTATACCACACTATGTCTATTATACATAATAAAGAGGAAAAAGAAAATCCCTAGCATTCTCACATATTTCTACCCAGGAGTACTTTGCCAACTCAGAGAAATCAGATTATGAGAGAGATATAGAAACTGTCAACAAATAGTCACTTTGTATATTCCTTTCCATCCCATGTATTTTAGGAAAAATTTATTAATTACAACTGTATTAAACTAGATTATGTTAGTGGGCTAGAGTTGAACACTGTGGGAAAAGAATGCTAATCCTACACTTGCATAATAAATTTGATTTTATTATTAGAACTCAAATTTTAATGTATACTATGACATTCCTTTCCTCCCACTCCACCACTGCCACAACTTCATATTAAATTTGGGCAATGGGCGAGAGGGAGAAGGAGTGGTGTAGTATATACTACAATATAAGTCCAATTAACACAAGACAATTTACAACTATC